CGACACACTCACCACCCGACACACTCACCACCTGACACACTCACCACCACCTGACACACTCACCACATGACACACTCAGCACCTGACACTCTTCTCCCTAACACACCTGGCCAGACTAATGGGAAGCTCTTGAATATTTGCCTCCTCTTGGTCATCCATCCCTGGTAATGGCTGTAATTTTCCCTCACCTTTACAACTTTTTCACACGAAGAGAAAATATCAGATTACGAAATATCACCTGGATGGTTGACATGGATGGTTGACCTTACCTGACCTCGGTGTTATTAGCGCGTGAGAGTATTGCAAGCAGCGATTATGTAAAGTGTAGTTAATTAAAGAAGATTTGATGCACAGGAACGTCTTGGTGTAGTGAGCTGAGAGAGGTGTGTGGTGCAGAGCAGGTGTGTGGTGCAGAGCAGGTGTGTGGAGGAGGGCGGGTGTGTGGAGGAGGGCGGGTGTGTAGGAGGGGAGTGGGTGTGTGGAGGAGAGTAGGTGTGTGGAGGAGGGCAGGTGTGTGGGAGGGGAGCGGGTGTGTGGAGGAGAGCAGGTGTGTGGAGGAGGACCGGTGTATGGAGGAGAGAGGTGGAGGAGAGTAGGTGTGTGGAGGAGAGTGTGTGGAGGAGGGCGGGGTGTGTGGAGGGAGGGCGGGTGTGTGTGGAGGAGGGCGGGTGTGAGGAGGGCGGGGTGTGTGGAGAGAGCAGGTGTGTGGAGGAGGCCGGTGTGTAGGAGGGGAGGTGTGTGGAGGAGAGCAGGTGTGGAGGGAGGGCAGGTGTGTGGAGGAGTAGGTGTGTGGAGGAGGGCGGGCCCGGAGGAGGGCGGGGTGTGGAGGAGGGCGGGTGTGTGGAGGAGAACAGGTGTGTGGAGAGAGCAGGTGTGTGGAGGAGAACAGGTGTGTGTGGAGGAGAACAGGTGTAAAAAGGAGGAGGCGAAAAAAGGAAAAAGGGCTTCCTGTGAGTAGAGGAGGGTAAGATATGTATGGGGTAAAGTTGGTATGAATTCTTGTACTGTGTGTGCGTCTGTGTGTGTGTGTGTGTGTGTGTGTGTGTGTGTGTGTGTGTGTGTGTGTGTGCGCGTGTGTGTGTGTGCGCGGTGTGTGCGCGTGTGTGCGCGTGTGTGTGTGTGTGTGTGTGTGTGTGTGTGTGTGTGTGTGTGTGTGTGTGTGCGCGTGTGTGTGCGTGTGTGTGTTGTGAGGTATATTTAATTGTTTTCTGCACCAAGTTATATTCAGTGGGTTATACTGTATATACAGTATATAACACGGAGACTACTGCTGGCACTGACCCAGGAGCCACGGGAGGAGCGGCACTGTATTATACATTCCAGGTCAACAGGTCATCCTCTGGGGAGATCTGAATCCAGCGGAGGGTCAAGATATTGGAAAATAAAGGTCACTGAAAGTGTATGTTGTGCTGCACACACACACACACACACACACACACACACACACACAGGCACGTAACTTTCACCTTACCCACCCAAACTTACAGACAAACTCAGGTCCAAATCTAATGGCCCTCTCTCCAGTTGGACAAGAAGGAAGACCCCAACACACCACCACCACACCCACACCACACCAATACACCCACACCACCACCCCCCCACCACCATCCCCACCACCACCCCCACCAATCTCTGCACCCCCACCCCCCCAACTCCCCACCCCACCACCACCCACACCACCACACACCCACACCACCACCCCCACTCCACCACCCCCCACCACCACCACACCCCCACCACCACCCCCACCACCACCCCCACCACCACCCCACCCACCACCCCCCACCACCATGGCACACCACTACACACACCACCACTACACAACTACCACATCATCACCACTACACCACCACGTACCACACACCCACCACATACCACACCACGTACCACACACCCACCACATACCACACCACAGACCACCACCACATCACCACCATCACATCACCACACCACCACCACATCACCACATACCCCACCACATACCACCACATCACCACACCACACCACTAAACACCAGTAAACACCACCACCACACACCCCCACCCATCACCACCACCGGAGTAGGGAGGCCCCGTGACGCAGCATCAGACCAGACGCTGAGTTCTCAAATTAATTAGAAGAAGGCCACCCTACCTCTGGCCTCCCTGCAAGCACCCTTAATCCATTCCACCCCCTCCCCCAACCCCCTCCTCCCTCCCCCCCCTCCCCCTCCACCCTCCCTCCCTCCTCCCCCTCCCTCCCTCCCTCCACCCACCCCCTCCCTCCCTCCCTCCCTCCCTCCACCTCCCTCCTCCCTCCCTCCCTTCCCTCTCTCCCCCTCCCCTCCACCCTCCCTCCCCCTCCTCCTCCCTCCTCCCCACCCCCTCCCTCCCCCTCCCTCCTCCCTCCCTTCCCCTCCCTCCACCCCCTCCCTCCCTCCCTCCTCCCTCCCCCTCCCCCTCCCCTCCTCCCTCCCTCCCTCCCCCTCCACCCTCCTCCCCCTCCCTCCTCCCTCCCTCTCTCCACCCCCCCCTCCCTCCCTCCCCTCCCTCTCACACCCTCCCTCCTCCCTCCCTCCTCCCTCTTCCTCCACCCACCCTCCCTCCTCCCTCCCTCCCTCCTTTCTCCACTCCCCCTCCCTCCCTCCCTTCCCTCCAACCTCCTCCATCCCTCCCTCCTCCCCCTCCTCCCTCCCACCTCCTCCTCCACATGCCTGCCATCACCACTATGTACCGTCTTCTGCAGGCTACCACTCGCCCTGACGTTCTCGTGCAGCTATTATGAGGAGATAATTAATCCAGGGAGGTCTTGGGAGGGAGGGAGGGAGGGGCGGGTCGTTAATAGTCTTGTCTGCCACAAGTTGGACAAACACGATGTCACATGTAGGAGTGGTGGTGGTGGTGGTGGTGGTTGTTGCTACGTTGTTGTAATGGTGGTGGTTGGAATACGATAGTGGTGGTGGTTGTTGTGAAGATGGTGGTTGTAGGGCACGTCATGCAGTAGGGGGGACTGAGCGATGCCTGAGTAATGAGCCAGCCAGCCAGCCGGATGTGACGCCCTGCAGCATCCAGATATTGCCTAAGTTATGCTGAAGGAGTTGACATCGTCTTCCTCCCCCTTCGTCCCCCCCTCTTCCCAGAGTGACGCTACTACTACACCATCACTCTGCCCACCACCATCTACATCATCACCCTTCTGCCTCCACCACCATCACCACCATCATCATCCGCCCCATCACCACCATCACTCCTGCCTCCACCACCATCACCACCATCATCACTCCTGGCTCCACCACCATCACCACCATCATCATCCTGCTCCACCACCACCATCATCACCCTGCCTCCACCACCATCACCACACCATCATCACCCTGCCTCCACTCACCATCACCACCATCATCATCCTGCCTCCTCCACCACCATCATCACCACCACCACCACCATCACCACCATCATCACCCTGCCTCCACCACCATCACCACCATCATCACCCTGCCTCCACCATCATCACCACCATCACCACCATCATCATCCTGCCTCCTCCACCACCATCATCACCACCACCACCACCATCAAGAGCACTATACCCTGAACCACACAACACTTCTTATTATTTTATAAAAAGGTGGTTTTGTTTACATCACGAAAGAGCGAGTGAGATTATAACGATGTAATATGAAGGAAGGAAGGAAGGAAGGAAGGAAGGAAGGAAGGAAGGGTGAAACAACTTCAAGGTGAGGCAGGGAAAAAAAGGAAGAGGGAAGATAACCTGATGGAGGGTGTAAGAGAGTGGGAGAAGATAATGAAGTAAGGTGATGGAGAGAGAAGGAGGAAGAAAGGGAGAGATGATGAATGTGAGGCAACTAAAATGAGGAAGTAGAGACGGGGGAGTTACCTGAGGGAGGGTGGGTCCTGGGGAGGGAGGATTACCTGGCGGGGGGAGAATTACTGTGGGGAGGGTGGGGAGAGATACCTGGCGGGGGAGGGGGTGGGAGGAGTTACATGGCGAGGAAGGGGAAAGTTGCCTGTGAGGCAGGGGGTGGTAGAGTTACCTGGCGAGGGGTGGTGGGGATTACCTGTGGCAGGGAGGGTGGGAGAGATACCTGGCGGGAGGGAGAGATTACCTGGCGGGGCAGGGGTGGAGAGATTACCTGGCCGGGGAGGAGAGTTACCTGGCGGGGAGGAGAGTTACCTGGCGGGGGGAGGGAGGGTTACCTGGCGGGAGAGTTACCTGGCAGGGAGATTGCCTGGCGGGGAGAGTTTCCTGGCAGGGAGGGGTTGGAGAGTTACCTGGCGGGAAATTGGGAGAGTTACCTGGCGGGAGGAGAGTTACCTGGCAGGAGGTGGGAGGGATTAACAGCGAGGGAGGGTGGGAGGTTGCCTGGCGAGGAGGAGAGTTACCTGGCGGAGGGGTGGGAGAGTTACCTGAGGGGTGGAGGATTACCTGGCAGGGAGGAAGTTACCTGGCCGGAGGGGTGGGAGAGTTACCTGTGGCAGGGAGGCAGAGAGTTACCTGGCGGGAGTAAGAAGGAGTTACCTGGTAAGGGATTCATCGGGGATAGTAGTAAAACATCAAACGGTTTTATATACTGGTGGTTGGTGGCAATTATTTTGTTATATCGATGTCCTTAGCGCCCCACCCCACCCCCCACGCATCACCCTCTTCTTCATCACCTACACGTATTTACCTGCGTCTGTACGTCCCTGTGTCTGTCTCTGTCTTTGACCTTTCATTTTTCTATCTATTATCATTTGTCTGTCTATTTGTCTGTCTGTATTATATTTATGGTCTGTTTGTCTGTCCATTTATCCGTCTGTCTGAGATAATGGTCTTAAAGTGACAATGTTCTAATATGTTTGCATTGACAAAGCATCCTACACTATCGTAAATACTTGGAAATATCCTGAACACACTGGAACACAATAAACATAACCAAAATAACTATCAAAAAAGCTCACTAAAGACAAAATAATTCCTATATTAACGTTGTGTTGTGGTTTGAGGATTGTTGCCTGAAGGTCCCGGAGAGATCGGTGGCAACGCTGCAGGTGAGGACAGAGGCTAAGAAGATGGTAACTACAGGTGAGAGATGATGGTCACAGTGGGGTGAATGTGGTTGGGGGGAGGAAGGTGATGTGTTGTGGAGGGAAGGGAGGGAGTGTTTTGTAAAGGTTGTCATGAGCTCTCTCTCTCTCTCTCTCTCTCTCTCTCTGCTGCTTCTTTGTAGTTGATGTTTTAGCTACACCATTTTCTCAGTCTTCTCTCCTCTCCTCTCCCTCCTTCCCTCTCTCTCTCCCTCCTCCTCCTCCTCTCTCCCCTCCTCTCTCCTCTCCCCTCCTCTCCTCCCCTCTCCCTCCACCCTCCTCTCCCCTCCACCCTCCTCTCCCTTCCACTCTCCTCTCCTCTCTTTCTCACCCACATTCCCTCCTCATTTGTCTGCCTAGCAGCTTACCCTCCTTACTATTATTCCCCTCCCCTCCTCTGCTCTCTTCCTCATCCCGACTTTACCCCTTCCCTCATCAACCCACTCCTCCTCTCTTCACCCTTCCCCACTTCTCTCCAATCCCCTCCCACTCTAAACTCTTCATTTCACCCTCCCTCTCCCCCCCCCCCCATTCATCCGCCCACCTTGCCAACAGCAACACTGGGCGCCATGACTACGGGTTAAGTCGACCTGGCATTCAGGGCACTTCATCACCACACCACCGTCAGGAGTTTAGGACGCTGACGGGGTCGTGGTGATGAGAGGAGGTTCAGTGGTGAGGGAAATACTGATGATAGGGTCGTGGTGAGAGTCGTGGGGACAGGGTCATGGTTTTAAATCTTTACCACTACACCTGACCACCCAAAAGGCTTCTAGTATTCAAACACAGGTGAAAACTGTCCGTTGTTTGATTAGAAACTGACTGATAGTAACGTAAGTGATTCTTCAAGCATGTTTTTTTTTAGTTTTTTATCACCCTGCCTCAGTATTAATCACCCTAACCTAACCTACCCTACCAGATATCTTTAGCTCATTTAATCACCAGATGTAACAAAACTCGGCCCAAATCTTCAGTTTATCGTTTTTTTTAACTTTCTGTTTGTTTACCTTTCCTGCCTTACATTTTTCTTAACAGGAAGTGAAAAAAAAGACTAATATTTTTTGTGGGAAGTTCAGTGAAACCTCTATATAACGAACTTCTCTACATAATAAGTTAGTTGGGGGGGGGGGGGTTTCCTATCTACCAGACCCTCGATATAACGGATTTTCGTCTCTAAATAGTCCGTTAAATTTTCTTGAGTTATATTTTCTATGTATTTTATTTTATTTATTTTTGGTTGTCGAATTGAGGATGGAAAGTCTACATCAGTGACGTCTTTCATGTGTACGTTTTCTTTGGTGGAATGTAACAACGACAGGTAATATTTTCATTAAAAAGTCCACCATTTAGAAGGATAAAAACATATACTTACATCTACAAATACATTTTAGTGTCACTTGTATAATAACTCTAACACGTATATAATTTTCTTCACTGTCATTCATCTTGATATATTTTCTTCACTAAAATATAAAGTGACAAATCATTCTTAGTTCAACAAATGCACAATGGTTCTCCAAAGACAATCTGTTTATAATATTTACTTCACTGGAATGAAAAATAACAACTTTTGCCTCTTACTCATGCATGATTTGCTTGATAATTTCGTTCGTTCACTCTTGTGCGTTTTTGTTGAGTGAGATTGAAAATTGTGAGGGGAGTTTGGAGTGGCAGGGAGGGGGGTGAGGGTACGATGCTGGGTCCCCCCCCCACCCCCACCCCCACTGACTGACTGACTGAGTGAGGGAAAGAGAATTGCTTCCGCTTCTTGAGGCACTTTGACGAAATTGTGAGGAAAGAAGGGGTGATTTGAGGGGTGAGAGGATGTGGGGGTGAGGGGGGGTGATGTGAACGGAGAGAAGGGAATGTGAGGGGAGAGAGAGGAGGATGTGAGTAGTAAGGGGAAGTAAGAGGTGGGGAATGTGAGGGGTGAGGGGAAGTGTAAGGATGATATGAGGAGACAGATCTAAAGGGAGAGAGGGGGATGTGAGGGAGGAAAGAATGTGAGGGGAGAGAGGATGGGGGGGTATAGGCGAATGAGAGATGGAGAGGGGGAAGAGAAAGTTGAGAGGAGGAAGAGGGAGGGGATGTAATGGGGAAAAAGGAGGAGTGAGAGAAAGAGGAGGACTAGTAGGAAGAAGAAAGAAGTTGAGTAGAAAAGGGACGGTAGAAATGGGAGAGAGAGAGTTAAACACCTTCGCCAAACGCTCACACACACACACACACACACACACACACACACACACACACACACACACACACACACGCACGCGATAAAAAGGGCCAATTGAATCTTGTTTTTACCTCTGCAACATCACATTAAGTTAAACAACCTCAGCAAGTCTTTGGATATTGTTTCTTCTCTCACTAATTAAAAAATATAGATCTGTGTGTGTGTGTGTGTGTGTGTGTGTGTGTGTGTGTGTGTGTGTGTGTGTGTACACTAATAATAATAATAATAATAACGGTTTATTAAAAGAGCATGGCAGCCGGAAGGCTGAAAATATACAGTTGCATAATTGGGGAATGGGTCTCTTGATTGACAAATATAATATACAAGCAACATAAGTGATATAAATGTGATATATAATGAATAGGCGGGGAGAAGGTCATACTACAGGGCATTTTAACATAGTGACAGTGCAAAAAGTAAGATTGACTGGGAGTGAACACACTGGTTGATTACAAGTTATTGATAATTTTTACAGTGGTTGGAACTGGGCTGTTCTTATAGCGATCAGTTCGTGCTCGTATGGGCTGGATGCGGTTGTGGTGTCGAACAGTAATTCTCGGACGAGGGATCTCGGGTGGTAGTAGGAGCCGGTGTCGAGGATGGTGCAGAAGTTTCTCACCAAATTTGCAGATGAGGTCGTGGTCAGAGAGAGCCGAGAGGGTCAGTGTGTTGAGTGCTTCTTGATATGTGGAGTGGGAAGGGGAGAGAATACTCTTGCATGTCCTCTTTTGCGCTTTTTCTAAGTGTTTACGTTGTGTGGCATTTGGGGAGGAAGATCAGGTAGAAGAGGCATAGGTGAGCTTCGGAAGTATGAATGTTGAGTAAACACTGAGGAGCTCGGGCGCAGGAACTCGATAGACTTGAGTCGGCGGAGGAGGTGGAGACGGAAACTGGAGGATTTGACAACTTCACTGTGTTTTCCAATTTAGTTTGTTGTCTATGGTGACGCCGAGGAGCTTAGTGGAGTTTGCAACCTGGGGTGTGTTGGGACCTAAAGTAATGGAAGGGGGTGGGACAACGTCGGACGAGAGGTTGATGTGCATAACCATGGTCTTGGTATGGTTGATGGTGACGTGGTTGTTGATGGCCCAATTTTGGAGACTGTTCAATAAATCCTGGAGGGCGGTATAGTAGGGAGCAGAGTTGTTGACACTGATCCTAATGGTGGAGTCGCCGACATATTTCCAGCGAGCAGGGGTTTATCTTAGGGCATCATTGATAAGCATAAGGAAGCAGAGCGGTCCCATCTTGGTGCCTTGGGGGACGCCACAGGTGAGTGACTGAAAAGTGGAGACAGCCCCTCGGAAGCGAACGGCTTGGCGTCGGTCACTGAGGAAGTCTGTGAGCCACGGTATAAGACTTCTTTGAAACCCGAGGTCAAGGGCTTTGTTGATGATTAAATTGTGGTCAACTAGGTCAAAAGCTTTGGTGAATTCAATGAAAGTCACAGTCACAGACTTTCGTTTTTCCAGATGGCGGTGCGTGCGTGCGTGCGTGCGTGCGTGCGTGGGCGTGGCGTGTGTGTTAATTTCCCGTATGAAAGCGTTTTAAAAGACTGATGATACAGACACGAACTGAACTCCCTTGAAACACCTGAGACTACGAACTGATTTTTTTAACTCATAGATGGCGTTGTACCGTCTCGTTCGGGTTAGGTTAGGTTAGGTTAGGTTAGGTTAGGTTAGGTTAGGTTAGGTTAGGTTTGACATCTTTAACAGTAGACGAAAATCTAACACATAGAATATTTCCAAAGATTCTCAACGTAAATAGTCTTAAGTATTGAGCAAACTTATCTCTTTAAGGTAAAGTCTCAGTGCAATTACGAGGCCATTTTGTGGACGTTATTTTTGGAGCATTAGCTTAAATTAACCAGTTAAGTTCGTTTTTATTTCTTCACTTAGGAGGAGTTATGCGAATATTTTTTATTATTATTTTTATTTATTTTTTGAATCTGGACACTTGGACAGAACGAGGATTTGAGCACTTGAGCGAGATGCCGACACGTGAGGGTTGAGCATCAGTTTCTATCCTGTTACCTTGTGAAAAGTGTTTAGTTTAAGAGGGCCGGGGGTGCAAAGAGGTGCTTGTAGAGTAAGAGGGCCGGGGGTGCAAAGAGGTGCTTGTAGCATAAGGGGCCTGGGGTGTAGAGGTGCTTGTAGCATAAAGGGCCGGGGGTGTAGAGGTGCTTGTATATTAAGGGGAGCCGGGGTGTGGGGGTGCTTGTGAGGGCCGGGGGGTGGGGGTGCATAAGGGGCCTGGGGTGTGGGGTGCTTGTAGCATAAGGGGCCGGGGGTGCAGAGGTGCTTGTGGTGTGGGGGGCGGGGGTGTGTGTGGTGTAAGGGGCCAGCAGGGGTGTGGGGTGCTTGTGGTGTGGGGCCGGAGGTGCAAAAAGTGCTTGTAGCATAAGGGGCCGGGGGTGTGGGGAGCTTGTGAGTAAGAGGGCCGGAGGTGCAAAGCTTGTAGAGTAAGAGGGCCGGGGGTGTAGAGGTGCTTGTAGAGTAAGAGGGCCGGGGGTGTAGAGGTGCTTGTAGAGTAAGAGGGCCGGGGGACGTGGGAGTAATGCTGTATCTTGGTCGTCTTGTCTGCTGAGCCTCGTCAGTCACCCAGTTCAATCAGTCACTCAGATCATCATCAGGCATCCAGTCATTTAGTCAGTCATGTCGATCAGTTAAAGAATTAGTCAATCAAGATTTCGTATCGGTCAATGCCAACCAACCCAACCCAACCCAACCCAACCCAACCCGTAGAGGCATTCATAGAACACACACAATCAACCACAAATAATAGTTATGATTTTGACCTTAATATTCACCACCAAAAAAAGAAAACATGAAGAAAAAAAATTATATTAAAAGAATAAATAAAAATATGAAAGAATACACGACAGAGGAATCCAATTACGTTTCTCCTCGCTCCAAGGGATGTTATAATCAGATTTCCCGTCTTCAGTATTAATGACGGGAAGCTCATTTGAATGCGTGTGCTCTTTGATGTCTCGGGCGTGTTCACTGAATACTTTATAGAGCCCCCCCCAAAAAAAGGAGAATAATTCGTTAGTGTGTAATGTGTGTTTCTCAGGAATTAATAATAAAAAATTACGTAAGGTCGTTTGATTGATTTTCTTGGAAGGTTATAAAATGGGATTTAGTTCTAGAGCTTAGGTGGTAATTTCTGTGTTTTTTATTTGTATTTTTTTCTTTAAGTAAGGAGGAGGAATAGTCTTTAGGTAATATTTCTCAGGGGGATATAGGGGCTGTTAAGGAATACTGGTGAAGGAATATTCTTCTTGTGGTAACATCCTAGTAAATGATGGAGTATTGAGGAAGATTGTTAGAGTAATATTTCATCATTAAGTGTAGGGAATATAAGGGAAATGTACAGTGGTAATAACACACACACACACACACACACACACACACACACACACACACACACACACACACACACGTCATTTCTTCTTTGGTGTGTAACTAATTCATTTTAGGCTGAAACTGCATGGCTTGTGTTAGGGTTTTTTGTTTGTTTGTCAAGATTTCAGCTTGTTAGTGTAACCGACCTCCAGTGATTACGTCCGACTTTAGTTTATGTAAAGGTCAAATTTAAATACAGTATACATTGTAACTATATTAATATCTCTCTCTCTCTCTCTCTCTCTCTCTCTCTCGTTTACACCATTTCCCCTGTCTTTGTTCCTCCCTTTCCTTCCTTTTCCTTCCTTTTCATCCGTTTCCCCTCCTGTAATTCACCTCCCTTACTCCCCATTTCCATTTTCCTATTCTTCCTCATGTTCCTGTTCTCCCTTTCTTTCCCTCTTTCCCTTCCCCACCCTTCTCCGTCAATCCCCCCCTCACACCCTCCCTCCCCCCTACTTACACCTCAGTATACTAATCTTCTCTTGTGCGTTTCAGCCAGCAGACGTGACCACCAGCGCCACCCCGTCATGGTCTACATCCACGGGGAGTCTTACGAGTGGAACAGCGGCAACCCTTACGACGGCTCTGTCCTCGCTTCCGTTGGTCGTGTCGTCGTCGTTACCGTCAACTTCCGTCTTGGCGTGTTAGGTGAGTCTTTCCTTCCTCCTCCACCTCCTCCTCCTGTTGTCTTAAGTCTTCGGGGTCTTTATTGAGTTGAATTTTCTTCATCTGTGTTCATCACCGTCAACTTCCGGCTTAAAGGGACCCGTTGTCCTAATAGACCCCTAGTGTAATAGACCCCCAATAGGCCTCAGTATAATAGACCCCCAGTGTAATAGACTCTCAGTGTAATCGGCCCCAGTCCCAAGGGATCCCAGTCCCAATAGGCCCAAGTCCCAAGAAACTCCACTCCTAATAAACTCGAGACCAAACCATTAAAATGTGGTTCACTAGGATTAAAACGCTTTACGAAGTCACCAAAATACTGTACTGTACCTTACTGTACCTTACTGTACCTTACTGTACCTTCAGACTGACGAACACATCACCGGGTACAAGTGGATGCAAAACGTCATATTGCACTGCCCTCATAACCCCACCATTCATACATCCCCACCTCATAACCCACACCAGCCCCACACACCCGCATCATAACCCCATCATACACCCTTACTTCATAACCCACACCACCTTTCCCTCAAAAGCTTACTAGTATTTTTAATAAGCCTTAACGTCAACAATGCTCTTTTTCCCTTTCATGTTCATCACGAAGTTTAGTCTCTCAGATGTTTATTAACTCCTCCTCCTCTTTGTCCTCTTCCTCCTTGTCCTCTTCCTCCTTGTCCTCTTCCTCCTTGTCCTTTCACACGTCTCTTTCACCCGATACCCTAATCCCACCCCACCCATCATCCCCGAACCTGGTAGAGAGACGAACAGAAGCTGTGTTTTATCTCTTGCAACTCCCGCCTCGAAACCAAATGATATAAAACATAATTTATAGTGAGTGCCAACAGTGACGTGGGGGAGTATAGGAACAAATAACTCCTGTCTCTGAGGGGTCATTGATAATAAGTTAATGGATTTGTTACCAGGCCAGAGGAGGAGATAATGGTGGTGATGGTGGTGGGGGTGTGGTGAGGATGGTGGTGGTGGTGATAGTAGTGGTGAATGTTTCACTCCCTGCCAGATCGACACATAACTCCTCTCTTCTTTTCTCTTCTCTTCTCTCAAACAGTCCTCAGGCTAAACTTCCTTCAGAACAGTAAAACAATTGAGACCTTACCGCGCCGTTGGCTCCCTCATGGCTATGGCGGTCACAGATGATGATTAAAATTGGTCGTTTACATATCAGCGAGACTCTTACTAACGTGGTGTCGTCCCCAGAGTTACCGTTGTTTGGGGTTCTCCTCTGGTGGTCCGTGATAATACCCACGAACAATGAGTGGCGCCTGCTGGATTATTCTCCCCAGCTGGTGTCTCCCCCACGCAAGAGGACCGACCCGGTGAAAATAAGTCACGGTGGATATTAGAAAAATCTCGTCTTTTTTTTTTTCTTCTTTTACGAATTTTCTCTTTCGGGTTTGCCAGATCTGAATCAGATCTTATCAGTGCACATGAAAAATGGTTTTCCGGAGCAGAGTCCCGCAAGGTAAAGAAGAAATGGGACAGGGGGGTTATTGAACGTCATGTCAATAAGGACTGAATTTGTCACATCACCTAAATGGGAATATCGGCCATGTCACCATTGTGGGATGCGATTGTCTTACTGTCAGTCATTCCTCTTGTTCCCTCCCGCGGCGCTTTTGGCCCTGACAAAAATAATCAAGATTTTTATTCCCAGTAAAGTTGGGAGCGTAGAGCTGAGCTTTGTCTGTGAGATATTGTTATGTATACAGTATAAACTCCCCCACTGTGTGCCACTTTTGTGCGGGCAGTCAGCGCCTCTGTACGGTGTCTTGTGACGTCACGAGGTGTTTATCGCGGTGCATTGTGGTAGGAATGATGACGGTGATTTTTCCTCTCTCCGACTTATCGGTGAATAAACGTACTGGGTTAGGTTAATGTGAATGAGACCCAGTGCATTGTGGTAGGAATGATGACGGTGATTTTTCCTCTCTCCGACTTATCGGTGAATAAACGTACTGGGTTAGGTTAATGTGAATGAGACCCAGCCCCCCCCTCTCTGACCTCTGACCCAGCCTCTCTGACCCAGCCTCTGACCTCTGACCCAGCCCTCTCTGACCCAGCTATCCCTCTGAGCCAGCTATCCTTCTGACCCAGCCCCTCTGGCCCTTCTCTGACCCAGCCCCTCTGACTCAGCCCTCTCTGACCCAGCCCCTCTCTAACCCAGACCCAGCCCCGTCTGACCCAGCCCGTCTGACCCAGTCCCTGTCTGACCCAGCCCAGCTCTCCCAGCTCCTCTCTCACCCAGCCCTCTCACCAGCTCACCCTCCCTCTCACCCAGCTCTCCTCTCACCCAGCTCTCCTCTCACCCAGCCCCTCTCACCCAGCCTCACCCAGCTCTCCCTCTCACCCAGCCCCCTCTCACCCACCCCCTCTCACTCCCTCCCCACCCAGCCCCTCTCCCCCTCAGCCCCCTCAGCCCATCTCACCCAGCCCCCTCCCCACCCAGCCCCCCACCCAGCCCCATTCTCACCCAGCCTCCCTCACCCAGCCTCCCTCCCAGCCCCTCACCCACCCAGCCCCCTCTCACCCAGCCCCCCCTCACCCCTCTCACCCGGCCCCCTCCCTCACCCAGCCCCCTCTCACCCAGCCCCCCTCACCCAGCCTCCCTCTCACCCAGCCCCCTCCCTCCCTCTCACCCAGCCTCCTCTCACCCAGCCTCCCTCCTCACCCAGCCTCCCTCTCACCCAGCCCCCTCCCTCACCCAGCCCTCCTCCAGCCCCTCTCACCCAGCCCCCTCCACCCAGCCCCTCTCACCCAGCCCCCCTCACCCAGCCCCCTCTCACCCAGCCCCCTCTCACCCAGCCCCCCTCTCACCCAACCCCTCTCACCCAGCCCTCCTCACCCAGCCTCCTCTCACCCAACCCCCTCTGATCCAGCCCTCTCACCCAGCCCCCTCTCACCCAACCCCTCATCCCAGCCCTCTCATCCAGCCCCCTCTGACCCAACCTTTCATAAGTCCCAGCCATCCTAAGAACCAGTTAGACGAGAGGGGGGGCTAAGACCAGGGCTGCGGGCCAGGAGTGAGGACCTTAAGCCGTGTTGTAAATCGGGTGGACGTGAGGGCGCGGGAGAAGCCTCGCCCTCCACCAGTGTTTATGGCCTCTCAAGCACTTGCTATTTTTCTCCCGGTTATAACTAGCTCAGAGACGGCCTGGTTGACACTCTGACCCCACCACCGCCATACCCGCCTCCACCACCACCAACACCACCATACCTGCCCCACCACACCCGCCCCCACCACCCACACTCACCACTACCTCCACCACCACCACACCTGCCCCCCACCACCACACACTGCCCCCACCACCACACCTGCCCCCACCACCACACCCGCCCCCCAACACCACCCACCTGCCCCACACCTGCCCCACCACACCCACCACCACCACACCTGCCCCACCACCACACCCGCCATCATCAGAGTCTTACTGTACTTACATAAACAGCTGGTACAGACACTTGACAAACTTAGCGGTCACCTAGTGTGGGGGGAATTTGCGTAAGGTGATACAATAGAGAATAAACTATCCATGAAACTACTAATCAGACAGACTTCAGCAGTGGGGGGGAAACAATACAATAGAAGGTGTTGGCATCTGTGTTTGAGGTGTGACGGGAGAGTCGTTATGGGAAGGTCAGTGTGTGTGCTGTAGGGCGTCCAAACCTCTCCCATCGACCCTCTTAACTTATACATATAAAACTCATAAATTCATATCTATAAAACTTTTACTCATACCTTTATAAGATTATTTTCCTTAATACGGTGAAGGAAAAGGTATATAAATGTGGCTGTTTAGTTCAATCAAGGAAACCATTTCATTCTTAGTATTTTGCGAAACAACGATTTTCTATGACACTAAACACGAAACCTGCAAAATAGATTGACACGTAGATGCTTCAGGACCAAGAGTTTAATAATGTAAAATAAAAAATGAAAAATATTTACATTACAAGACCATTTGCTTCAATAGGCAACAGTATTATATAAACAGATGACAATGGACCTTAATCATACTCTAGAATGGAATATAATTAATATAAATCAGTGTACCTATACGATCACTGTGTGCTGTTGGGTTAGATGACGTGACGTTAGGGTCGAATAGCAAGGAGTTTTCATCTTAAGAGGAGGGAAGGAGGGAGGGAGAGAGAGTGTGAGGAGGAAGAGAATATATGACACAAGTATGATACAGACACTATGACACATCACCCGTGACGCCTAACACACACACACACACACACACACACGCCGCAATCTGTCAAATAACTGAATTGTATCCTAAATTGTTACTGATGACTGAGTCTTATGTTATCCTTGTTTATTATTATTATTATTGTTATTATTATTATTATTATTATTATTATTATTATTATTATTATTGTTATTATTATTATTATTATTATTATTATTATTATTATTATTCAATTACAACGAAAAATACTCTTAAAATTACGACACAGAGATAGTTAAAGTTCCATTAATGTTTGTCCTTTGTAACTACACGCGTCGGCCCGCTCCCGTTATCTCAGTCTGTCTGTTCTCCCAAGTCAGTTATCAGGCCGGGAGAAAGTTGCCAGACTTTCTCTAAACTAATGACCTTTCAAAAACACTTTCTCCCCCATCTTTTTCCGTATCGGGGCGTGTGACCTCGAGTTGTTTTTCACTAAGGAGAATATTTTTGCTCAATTCTCTGTGACTTTTCTGCGGCCCTTGTAATCTTGGGGATCAGAAAGGCGTTATCCAAGTGCTTTGACTCTTGTGGCCGTGTTAAGGGGAAGGGGGTGTAGAAATGTGAGTGTAAGGAGGAGCATATGTGTTGGTAGAGTGTGGGGAGGGGTTGTGGGGGGGTGTGAGTGTGTGTGTGTGTGTTATATGTAGGTGTGTATAGGGGCAACACATACACACACACTTATTCACACACACAAAGATATTCTAACCTAAAACCAAGATAATAATAAAT